TTCTCTGCTAGAGCCTCCAGGAAGAAACACAGCCTTCCTCACACACTGATTTTAGCCCATTGAGACCCATGTTGGACTTCGCACCTACAGAACTATAAGATAGTACATTTGCATTGTTTTAAACCATGAATTTTGTATAATTTTATAGCAACAATAGAAATATAATACATTTTAAACTATCATCCACTGTAGTATTTGGGACACCAGTAGAGAGATTAAAGTCTTAAGTATGGCAATTGAAAATGTAGTGATGAATAAGTTTTAGGAGTCAATATGGTGTCTCCTTTGAAACATCTTCTCTATAATAGTTGGAACAGAAAAAAATACAGATGTATGAAAATGTAAATTAATGTTTGTCTATAATCCTAAATTCAAACCTTATGTATATGTTACATATATTCCTTCTCACTTTTGATCTAAATTATTCCCATGAAATTTGGGGTGCTTCTTTGTACAAAGAATTTATATTCACTTTCATTATTTTATATTTTTCTTTGTATATGGAGCCTGAATGGGTTTATCCTGTCCTTTTCATAATACAGGTACTTCACTGACTGTAATTATAAAGCTTTTCTCCTTTTAGAATATTTTTCTTTTCACTAAATTGAAAAGAAATTGCTTCTTTGATCTCATCTGATGTATTTGAAATGCTTATATTGTAAAAATGCTGACAGACCTGTTCTCCAGAAAGAACAGTGTCACATTTGGGGTTTTTTTGTGGGGGGAGATATTGGGGGGAATGCTTATAGAGAGTGGGGTTTCACTGTTGCAAAATTAATTGTTCTGAAGTAAACAGACAGAATTAACAAGTAAATTTGGAACAGTTATAGAATTTATGCATAATCCAGATTGCTGGAAATGTTTCATACAGATATTCAGTGTATAAGATAGTTTTAATGCATCATGTAAATAGAAATGCAGAATAAGCATTGTGTTTGCATTTGTAGAAAAATAAGTAAACATACGCTGTTTGAAGAAAAATTTTCTAATCTTTAAGGTGAAGTGAAATTTCCTGTAATTCCTTTCATGATTTATTGATGTCTTAAGGGCCATACTTAACTATAATTTTTGTCTGTGATATTTCAGGTCAACCTTTTTTTGTTTTTCTTTTCTGGTCTTTCACCATAGGATCTTTGGTAATTTTTTCAAATAAAGAAAATAGGTATGGATTCACTTCACTGAACACACATGTGTACACACACACACACACACACACACACACACACACATAGTTTTTGATTGCTATTTTGGCTAGAAAATTTTTAGAACAAATTAATTTTCTCAGAATTTTAAAGAAAATTTAACATTATTTTCTATCTTCATATGTTATTGATTAGAAGTTATGCCAATGACTTGCATTCATTTGTAGGTAACCAACTTCATCGTCCTGAAAGGAATATCATCATAAATGGAGTTCTGAAATATATAGGTGCATATTATTTATCATTCCTTCTGTCTATAACAAAGCATACTGTTTCATTTTGAAAATATAAAATTGCTAAGATGTTTTAGATAAGAAAAATACTCTTCTATTAATTAGGCGTATTAATGCTCCATGTCTCTCAATGTTTTTATATTTTCCATTGTTTTCTTCTTGTCTTGGATTCTAGGAATTTTTTCTCCCAACAAAATGTGTGACAGCTGCATTCATCCTATTATTTATGCATTCTATTTAAGCTTTATTTTGTAATTTTATTTTAAATTCCCAGTTCATTTTTGTTGTGCTTCTTTACTCATTTTATAGAGACAATGACTATTCACACCTTTCTGAGTATACTGACTAGAGGTTTTTAAATTCTTATTTTATGTCCTCTGAGTTGGGTTTTCTGTTTGCACATCTTGGTCTTTTTTCAAATAGGTGGGTTTTTCTGATTTTTGTTTTGCCTAAATTGCCAGATGATTAGGATTGTTTGCCACATTTTTGAGTGGAAAATCAGGCTGATCAATAGATACCTTGCATGTGTTTTCTCTGCATATATGCAGGCCTCTTTTCCCAACAGTTCCCTCCCCTAGATGTGTATAAACAGCAGATTCTATTAAAATGGTCTGCTAGGTTTGTAGTCTATGCCAATAAATAGGTTTTGCTCTAGCATGTTATGTATCAGACAAACTAGGCACCCACCAATTTCCAGAATAAGAAGGTAAATTTCTTTTATGTATAGAACTATTTTTTCTCTTTTTGATTATTTAAAAAGTCCAGCTATGCCCACTTTTTCTTCTGATCCTAATACCTGCACATGGGTCCTTCCTTTGGGTAGAACTTAGGCTTGCTTTAGAAAGAAAATGTTCATAGGACAGTAAGGTAGGCACAGCTTTTAAGAATAGGATATATTTTACCTAGAACTTGGCATGTCTGAAAATTTCTTTCCCTCTTGCTGACATTTTCTCCAGCTTGTGTTGTACGTATTGGAGCTATGATGCTTTTGCTTTGCTTTTGATCTAATCTCATTTGCCTTCTATGTTCCAGAAATTCTTTAATTTTCTGGCTCGCTAGTGGTGCCTCTTCATATTATGGAGACATATTCTGTCACAGGAGTGGAAGTTCAGGATGCCATGATTTAATCCACACAGCAACTCTGTAAGAATTTTTTTTTAACTTTTCTTTTAGTCAAGAAACTGAGGGCTGGATAAATGTCTATGTGTCATAGTTTTTGAGTGATTGAGCTGTGATTTGACCTCAGATTCTCTGTCTCCATATTCTCATCTCTCATCCCTAACCAGAGATGATCTTGTATTGCATTCCATTTCAATCAATTCCACTGAATTCAGCAAAACATATTCTGAATACCTATAATTCTGAATACCTATAAAATAATAAACTGCTTGTGACAGTCCTATACAAGCAATGAAAATATAGATATGGCTAAGACAAAGATCCTGTCTTCAATTAATTCACAGTTTTATATGTGGAACTTAGTAAGGAAGGAAAATAAGAGAATGCAAAGACTAAATTTACCTACTGCACAATTTTTCCTAAGATTGTTCTGGTATAGGTAAATTAAAAAGCAAATGTAATTGAAAAAAAAAACATTTGTTATGAATACTCTATATATGTTGGAGAAAATAATGAGCATGCTTCTTTTTATGTCTTGATATCATTTATAAAATAGTGCATATTTGAAGTAATATGCAAATGATAGAAATAAAGCTAGTCATATACACATTATAAGGATTAATTTAACCTACCTCCTGCTTGTCAGAGTTAACCTGCAACAAGGAGGCAAGTGGAATAACAAGTAGTGTTATTCATAAATAAAATGCATAAAAATATATTCAGGAAAACCAATGCTGTTTGCTTAACTGTCTAATTTACACCTTGCCTGTATCAGTTTGAGTAAATTATATTTTCAAAGTTCCATGAAATGTGAGATCTTAGAGAGCACTTAATTGTCTGTCTTTAGTTTTAGAGAAACTGAAATGGAAGAAAGACTTGTCCTGGGACACACATAAATGTAGATGCAGAGTCATGCCCACTCCATAAATTGCTTCCCCTAATCCCTTGTTTTAATGGAGTGGGAGGATAGGAGATCTCTGAGTCACTTAATTTTCCACATTTTTTCCTTGAGGGAAACTTTTCCTTCGGTATTGTGGGAATATGATATCCCAGTCTATTATTATGATTCCCTTGAAAAACAACTTAGGATAAGAAGGGCTAGACAATAATAAAACAAACTGAACCTGAAGAGATTTTTTTTCTTATATGTAATCAGATTTGTTTCATTAAAAGCACAAACTAGAGGATATCTAATAAAATCAATGAGGATTTTTTGGTTGTTGACATCTATCATATTGAAAGGAATACTGCCAATGTTTTCCCCTATCAGAATTTCTGCAGGAAATAGACTCATATCCTCATATTGTGCAGTGTAGTCTTATTTTTTCACTCATCCTACTCTAGTGCCAGAGTAAATTAGGTGGCTGAGAAAAGTGAGACACCACTAATGACTGAAAGTAAGCAGCATTTTTCATGGAATCCAATGCTGATGAAGGGAAAGAACAATATTAAGAGATACATTCCTATAAGTACTGAGGATCTGAGGAAGGAAAAAAAAAATGTGACTTGTGCAATGTATGTGCCTTTCATTTACTAAAGATTCAAATTACATTTCAGTAGAATATCAGCACTAGTCAAACACCACAGACATAACTGTTGTAGACAGGACCCAACTTAGGTTGCTGAGTAGCACGTGAAAATTTGAGAAGAAACAAGATATTATCATAGTTTCAAAGTATCTATCCCAAGGTATTTATTAACTACAAATGGAAAGATAGTAACCCACAAGCACTATTTAACCAAGGGATCAAAGTTAACATCACCAGTAAAAAGGCAAAATGATACCATGCATTGAGAACTCAGGACACATTGTCATTTCCGTGGTAGTTATGCTCATCGTGCTTAACCTTAGTCCAGTCATGAGGAAATATTAGACAAATGTAAATTGAAGGACATTCTACAAAATAATTAAACAGTAATGTTATTCAGAAGTGTCAGGATTATTAAAAAAAAAATAAGGAAAGACTAAGGAACTGTTGCAGCTTGACAGACTAAGGGAAAAAAGTACAATGCAGGATCCTGTATTGGATCCTGAAACAGAAAGAGGACATTGGTGGAAAAACTGGTGAAATTTGAATGTGATCTGTAGTTTAATTAATAGTATTATAACTATGCTTGTTTCTTGGTAGTATTGATCATTTTGTCAGAAGCTGATGAGAGATGTACAGGAACCTATTCACAACCTGTAAGTCTAACATTTCAAAATTAAAAGTTAAAAAAAAGTTTTAGCATGAGAATACAGATTTTGAGGGAACACACTTTTTCCATCTAACTTTTAAAATTTCACTGTTAGAAAAAGTCTACATTTGGGGGGCTACTGTTTACTTCTATCAGGACATATAGTACAAATGTTTATGTGAGGAAGAAAATTAGGCCTATAGGGAGAGTGGGTGAGAGAAACTTGGAAGGTTTGAAGGCTCTTTCATTTAAGGGTATGTCTACTTACCATTCTTCATCACAAATGGAAGGTGGTGTGCTGGAAAAATAACATGGAGCTCCAAGGCCCGGAAGCAGCATGGGGTAGAGCTTGGAGAAAGCATGATATAGATAAAAGACCATAAGTTTCAGAAGCAGACCAATCACTTTTCAAATCTTGAATCTTCTGCTTGATAACTGTGTGACAAGTTTAACCGTAAGTTACTACTACTACTACTACTACTACCACTACCACTACTACTGCTGCTTCTCCTCCTCCATTTTTATTTTAGATAAAAATACTTATCTTGCAGGTTTCCCAGATTACTAAAGTAATGTAAATATTGTATAAATAAGAACTATTAACCCCATGTCTACTTAAAGCCATACATTTCTTATTAAATTAACATAGCATCATTATACGAAGTTTAAAAGAAGAGAAAAATCACATACATTTTCATTGACTGAAAGATATGTGTAATCATTTTAAGTTTTATGGTTATATGTTTTAACATGGTTGTGATTTTAGTGTATCATTTTTATCTTGCATTTTTTCCCACATTACTATTTATGAATTTTGTCATGTTTCTACAATATATTTAAAATATCTCCCTACAATGGAACATTTAAGTTGATTCTGATTTTTTAATATCGTAAGCCATGCATGTTGCATTTAATATTTTTTAACTTGGATTATTCCTTTTATAAAGAAATGTGCATTAAGATTTGTAGTTTTTGTAAATTAAATAGTTAAAAATTTACCCTTTTCATGAATGTTTATTATTTTTACCTCTTACTTTATATTTGAACAGATGAAACTCAAATCACTGAATTTTCTTGACATTATCAGAAGTACTTATTCATCACCGGTAGACAAAGCAAGGAGAATTGGCATGAGTTTTGCTTCTAGTATAGAACTACAACCTTGGTGCAGAAAATGTATAACCACCACAGCTAGGTATAAGAAGCATGACAAGTGCTATGCAAATTCTAGTTCTCATTATTAATTATTAACATTGGCATGGTGCTGTAGGGAAAGAGTAACTTTGCCAGTGATTCTTACTATCATTCTATCAGCTTTCTTTAGCATAGGTTGCCACTGGTGGGGGTGGTAAGAATACAGAGTAGAAGATGTCTTTTAAATTATGTGGGAAAGCCCGTCACAGCATCCCTCATTTCCCAGGGTTAGCATAGTACAAATTTTCTGTTAGTTCTTTGAATTTTGATCAATGACTGCTTTGCTTGACCATTTTTCTTGATCTTTAGGTTCTGCAGATGTCTGGCTCATGAGTATTCACATAGACTTCCCACTATACTCTGAACTCCAATTTTATGTTCTCTGGGTTTTACTTACTTTTGTGATCTCAGATTCACTGTGATCCCAGTAGTGTCTTTCTTTTGTAGCCTCCTCTCATGTCTTCTTTTCTTGTTCAGCTCTTACAACGTGTTGCTATCCTTGATCCAAGATGGAAATTTAGTCTATGGGTATAATGAGAATTAGATATTTTGACTGTATTGGAGAATATCACATATTTATCAACTTAGTAGAGAGATAAAAGGTTAAGAAAATAGAGCAGATGCTATGAGCTTTCTTATGAAATTTCCCCAAGGTGGGAAGGAAAAGTGAAGCACAACTTCCAAGTTAGAACACATGCTATTAGTTTTGAAATAGAAATAATCAAACTAATTTCACTGTGTTATTTTATTATTATCATTTTAAAATATACATGACATTACATTTGCCACTTAAAATATTTTAAGTGTACAATTCTGTGACACTAAATACTTTCATATTGTTGTGCAAATGTCACCACCATCCATCTCCAGGACTCATCATTTTCCCAAATTGAAACTCTTTATCCATTAAACATTAACTCCTCATTACCCGCTGGTCCCAGCCCTTGGCAACCACCATTTTACTTTCCATCAATTTCACTACTCTAGGTACCTAGAATGATACAGCACTTGTCCTCTTGTGATTGGCTTAATCACTTAGCATCATGTTTTCAAAGTTTGTTCATGTTGTAGCATGTGTCAGAATTTCCTTCCTTTTTAAGGCTGACTCATTTTTCATTGAATGCATACCACATTTTGTTTATCCATCCATCCATATATGGATACTTGAGTTGCTTCCACCTTTTAGCTATTGTGAATAATGCTGCTACAAACATGTGTGTACAGATATGAATCCCTGATTTTATTTTTTTGGATATATAATTTTGCCAATACATAGCACTTGCTATTTCTGTTTGTTTCTTGAAAATAGCCAATGACTGTTATTTTGTTTGTTTGCTTTAATACTAGCCATTCTTATGGGTTTGAGGTAGTATCTCATTGTGGTTTTGATTTGCATTTTCCTAATTATTAGTGATGTTGAGTATCTTTTCATGTGGTTATGGGCCATTTGTTGATCTTCTTTGGAGAAATGTCTGTCCATTTAAGTCCTTTGCCCATTTTACCTGGGCTTTTTTCTTATCTACTCTAGTTTTGAGTCAACTAGAATGAATCAAACTTTGAATCAAAATGTGAAGATGGAGAAAGGAACAGGAGAGATGAGGTAAAGAACTCTGGTCTCAATCCAATATATTTGGCTTTGGCTGTATCTACATATTTTACATGTGTTAATGGAAAGAATTATGTAAACTGCTGTTATTCTACAGGTAGTACTATATCATAGTTGAAATAATGGGTTACAAAGACTCCACAGGTTTAAGGGAAGTTATAACATCTGCTTCCCCCCACCGCCAATCAGAGCAGATGGCTCTTTCCCAAGGGATATAAAAGTAACTACTTTCCTTAAATATGCCATCTGTCTGAATAATCAATTTCACCAATTAGTAAAGAAGGCATTTGAAGGGCTGAGAAATCTATTAATTCTAAACACAGGAAGGAGAAAAGAACTATGTTTTGCCCAATGCAAAATAATAGCATTTCTAGGCATCTCTGTTGAATATGAAATATGATCTACTTTTGTTGCCCTTTCTGAAACATTCTGTGGAGCTAGATCAATTGGTAAAAAGCAAATCAATAGATGAAGCTAGTGTGTGATGACAAATTTGACTTGCTTGACAGAGTGTATATTAATATTGATCACCAGGATCAAATCAAGCAGACCAAGCAAGTCACATGCTCTTATGGTAAAACAAAGCTCCAACTCATATTGTTAATCTGATAGGAATTCAGTAAGGCAGATAATTGTATTTTATCTTTAGGTTGTTTAACTATTATAATAGTTATATTATAACTATTATAATATGATTAACTATTATAATATTATAATATAATATACCTACTCACTGGCCCTCCTCTTCACTCCTTAAGCTCCAGCCATATAGATACATTTACAGTTCCCCTACCCATGGTTTTTCAAACTAACAAGCCTATGTAGATGCTGGTGTCAGCCCCAAATAACCTCCACTTTTACAAACTGGCAAGCCCTCCTCATTCTTCAGATTCCAGCTCAAGTATCTTCTCCGGGAAGAATTGTTTTATCAAGAAAGCCGATAATGCCATCTTAGTCTCCTCACTGTTTCTAATATGCATAGATAGTACAGAATTTTTCTCAATGAACTAATTCATTGTAAAATGTTGACTCCCATATTAGAGTGTAATTACATGAGGAAAGAGACTGCGTCCTATTTACCTATGTAGTGCTAGTTCCTGGAAATAAAACTTTAAAAAGAAATTGGTAATACATAAAACAGTTTGGAAATCCGATTGACAAGATGAGAGCTTGCTTTAAAAAATCCTAACATATGATAATTTTATTAAGGCTTTACTTCCTTTTCACTTACAATGAAAAGCTATAGGTAAAATTTGTTATTCTTGGGAATTCCTTGCTGACTGCCCAGGTCCAATCCCTGGTTGGGAACTGAAATCCCACAAGCTATGTGGCATGGTAAAAACAAACAAACAAACAAAAAACTGTTATTCTCAATTTTTAAGCACACATCAAAAATAAATTTCAATTAAAAATAACTGTCTGGACAATTAGCTGCTGAACAGTCATCGACAGGAAGACACTGGAACTCACCAAAAAAGATACCCCACATCCAAAGACAAAGGAGAAGCCACAATGAGATGGTAGGAGGGGTGCAATCACAATAAAATCAAATCCCATAACTGCTGGGTGGGTGACTCATAAACTGGAGAACACTTATACCACAGAAGTCCACCCACTGGAGTAAAGGTTCTGAGCCCCATGTCAGGCTTCCCAAACTGGGGTCAGGCAATGGGAGGAGGAATTCCTACAGAATCAGACTTTGAAGGCTAGCAGGATTTGATTGCAGGACTCTGACAGGACTGGGGGAAACAAAAGCTCCACTCTTGGAGGCAACACACAAAGTAGTGTGTGCATTGGGACCCAGGAGAAGGAGCACTGGCCCCTGGGGAGACTGAACCAGGCCTACCTGCTAGTATTGGAGGGTATCCTGCAGAGGCAAGGGGTGGCTGTGTCTCACTGTGAGGACAAGGACACTGGCAGCAGAAGTTCTGCAAAGTACTCCTTGGCATGAACCCTCCCAGAGTCCACATTAGCCCCACCAAAGAGCCTGGGTAGGCTCCAGTGTTGGGTTGCCTCAGGCCAAACAACCAGTAGGGAGGGAAACCAGCCCCACCCATCAACAAACAAGCAAATTAAAGTTTTACTGAGCTCTGCCCACCAGAGCAACACAAAGCTCTACCCACCACCAGTCTCTCCCATCAGGAAACTTGCTCAAGCCTCTTAGATAGCCTCATCCACCAGAGGGCAGACAGCAGAAGCAAGAAGAACTACAATCCTGCAGCCTATGGAACAAAAACCACATTCACAGAAAGATAGGCAAGATGAAAAGGCAGAGGGCTATGTACCAGATGAAGGAACAAGATAAAACCCCAGAAAAAAAACTAAATGAAGTGCAGATAGGTAACCTTCCAGAAAAAGAATTCACAATAATGATAGTGAAGATGATCCAGGACCTCGGAAAAACAATGTAGGCAAGATTGACAAGATGTAAGAAATGTTTAACAAAAAACCTAGAAGAATTAAAGAACAAACAAAAAGAGATGAACAATACAATAACTGAAATGAAAACTACACTTGAAGGAATCAATAGCAGAATAACTGATGCAGAAGAACAGATAAGTGACCCGGAAGACAGAATGGTAGAATTCACTGCTGTGGAACAGATTAAAGAAAAAAGAATGAAAAGAAATGAAGACATCCTAACATTAAACACAACAACATTCGCACTATAGGGGTCCCAGAAGGAGAAGAGAGAGAAAAAGGACCAGAGAAAATATTTGAAGAGATTATAGTTGAAAAGTTCCCTAACATGGGAAAGGAAATAGCCACCTAGGTCCAGGAAGCGCAGAGAGCCCCATACAGGATAAACCCAAGGAGAAACATGCCGAGACACATAGTAATCAAATTGGCAAAAATTAAAGACAAAGAAAAATTATTGAGAGCAGCAAGGGAAAAATGACAAATAAAATACAAGGGAACTCCCATAAAGTTAACTGCTGATTTCTCAGCAAAACTCTACAAGCCAGAAGGGACTGGAATGATATACTTAAAGTGATGAAAGGGAAGAACCTACAACCAAGGTTACTCTACCCAGCAAGGATCTCATACAGATTCGATAGAGAAATCAAAAGCTTTACAGACAAGCAAAAGCTAAGAGACTTCAGCACCACCAAACCACCTCTACTAAAGGAACTTCTCTAAGTGGAAAACACAATAGAAGAAAAGGACATACAAAACAAACCCAAAACAATTAAGAAAATGGTCATAGGAACATACATATGGATAATTACCTTAAACGTGAATGGATTAAATACTCCAACCAAAAGACACAGGCTCACTGAATGGATACAAAAACAAGACCCGTATATATGCTGTCTACAAGAAACCCACTTCAGACCTAGGGACACATACAGATAGTGACGGCATGGAAAAAGATATTCCATGCAAATGGAAATCAAAAGAAAGCTGAAGTAGCAATACTCATATCAGATAAAATAGACTTTAAAAAAAAAGCATGTTACAAGACACAAGGAAGGACACTACATAATGATCAAGGGGTCAATCCAAGAAGAATATATAACAATTAAAAATATATATGCACCCACCATAGGAGCACCTCAAGGTGCTAAGGCAACTGCTGACAGCTATAAAAGAGGAAATTGACAGTTACACAAAAATAGTGGGGGACTTTAACACCTCACTTACACCAATGGACAGATCATCCAAAATGACAATAAATAAGGAAACAGAAGCTTTAACTGACACAACAGACCAGATAGATTTAATTGATATTTACAGGACATTCCATCCAAAAACAGCAGATTACACTTTATTCTAAAGTGCGCACGGAAAATTCCCCAGGATAGATCACATCTTGGATCACAAATCAAGCCACAGTAAATTTAAGAAAACTGAAATCATATCAAGCATCTTTTCTGACCTCAACACTATGAGATTAGAAGTGAATTAC